AACATCTACCAGCTCCTAAACATATTCTCTTCCCTGATTACATGTCCAACCTAATACAACTCCTAAACATCAGTATGTATATATACAAACAAATGAATCGCATATCCACACTTCAGGTATGAACCGGTAATCCAAACAGAAGAATCACAAAACCTAACAATAATTAAAATATCATATTGTTAATTTCTTTTCAGGTGTAAACCAAAATGGAACTCCAGAGAAAATATAATTAGCAATTTGGGTAGCATGTTTTATCCATGTATCTAACTAATATCTAAAAATTTGATGAAGCTATTTTTCAATTGTTGTTTTACACTTCTTCTCAAGCTCAACCACTTGATTAACATGATTTAAAATGCAACATTTCATTCCACTCCCGTTCATATTAATTACATATTTGACTAATATTAAAATACTTCCTCTATAAAGGAAAGAAGATATAATGCATATTAATTAGATATATTTTTCTAACCTTGCCAAATCAACAAGATTAAGTTTCCTGTAAAGTTGCCCAAAAGTTGGACGAGTTTTCCCTTGATGAGGATTTGGGGTTGAAAAAAAAAATATGAAACTACAATATTATTTTTCCACTCGCTTTTAAAGCAGCTCCATAAGAGTATCCTTCAGATTATCTAAAATTATAATTAAAGTTGTTAGGATATTTCATAATCTGGGACAAATTTGTCCTAGGGGCATTTTAGGAAAAACTTTCCTATTTTTAGTATTTGAGTTAGATTAGGATTTTGTTTTATGTAGTATAAATGGGGTAAACATTTTTGATGTTTTAATCATGTTTTTATTCATGTTGCTTAATAAATTTTAGTAATCAAGCGATTTTGTAGAGAAGTTTCATTTTCCCCTGTTCTTCCTCTTTCCAGTTTCTCCATGTTTCTTTTACTCCTGCACATTTTTCTTAATAGAACCAGGTTAATACCTTACAAAAGTAATCAAATAAACAAACCAGTTTGAGTCCACAAATGCATGGCAGAAAAAAATACAATAAAAACTAGAGTTATGTTGCAGACTACACCTTCAGGCCAAACAACCTGGAATGCCAAATCCAATCCCATTCAAAATCACATGTCTTATTAATTACTAAATATGGATACAGGGATTTGAAATTCTTGAATTGTTAAAAAAAGTTAGAAAAAGAGACATACATATTGTAACGTTGATAGAAAGAACTTGATGTTGAGTGTCTTTGACAAGAGAGTCAAGAACCCGTTCTATGTTTCTCCCTTTTTCCCATTCATATTTTTAGAATCCATACAGATACAAGTTTTCCTTTTCTGTTATCCAATAAAAAACAAAGTGATAAAATCATAAACAGAATATACACTTATCATTATGAGTTGTTTCATGTAAGATGTAACATGTTTAGTATAACCCTAAAAATACCTCGGGAAGGACAAATCCATCTTTGTTCAACACAATGGTGTCTGATATTTTGTTACAATCGAAGACTTCTAAAGCTGAATTTTCATTGAAAGAAGAGAGTAGTAGATATAGTAAATATTATTGTTATATCCTCCTAAAATTCCACTTCCCTTGTTAATTGAGACTCGGGAATAGGATGTAATCCATAAAAAAACTCTAATTTATGGAATCAATGGAAGTTTTCTCAACATAGAAACATCATTCAACAAAAAAGGGAGAACAGAGAAGAAAATTCCAGAAAAAAGAGAGCGAGAATAGAGATAGTCAAGAATGAGTAGCTGATATTGTCCAACAACTTACCTGATGGAAGAGGCCGTGGGAGAAACAATGAAGACATCTTCGGACAATGATGGAAGATGGAAAAGAGGTGATCATGGGAGATGCAAGTGATGACAAAGCAAAGGCTGTAAAAACTAAATAGAAAACTAGGGTTAAAAGAGGACGAATTAGAAGTAAAAAATAACTAGTACTAGGGCTTACTGTGGAGGTTTAGTTATCGTAATCCAAGTGTATGGCGGCTCCATCATCGAAGGATTTCGGTAGAAGAAGCAAACATGAAAAACTTCCTAAAGCTAATATCAACCATACGAGTTCTTGATGCTTTTGAAAATGTGAATTCAAGGAGAGGAGGAAACCTTGCTAGGCTTAGAATCCCTAGTTCTTCGTTATAGAGCCCTCAATCGCAATGATTTTATAAGGTCTATTTTTGGGAGCAAAAAACCCTCAATCTCAACAGTCTTGTTCTGCCTTAAGATTTGACGAATATGAAAGCTAAACTCCATCATCTCCAAACGATTGCATATGATTTCAACCCTTTGTAATAGCCACTTCAGTTGTTCTATTATGTCTCGTACCCGTCGATCACCACCAAAAACCCGAGCACGTACTAAGTCGATAGAAAAATGAGAGAATCGGGATTTTAGAAAAAAATAAAAGACCTCCAGCTACCTACTTAGAAGAAAGACGCACATTAGGGTTCTTTGTCTGTGTGTTGTTTTGATTTATTTGTGGGAAATCAGAGACAAGCGAGAATCAAGCTTTGCATTCCATACTTCATAGCGATAACTCGTGAAATTCACAGAGCTTTATTAAGCCAAACCATTGAAAAGAGAAAAGTAGAAATGAAGGAAGATGAGAACAAAGCGGGGTTTTCTACTTTTTAGGGATTTTATTTCCCGCTTAGCTAATAAAGGTTGGAACGCGCGTTCCATTAAAATTTATAAAGCGACATCCTTACACGACGCACAATTTATTATAGATGCTCTCCGTGTTTTTTTTTGTTTAGACACTAATTTAAGGGCGGGCAACAATGCGCGACATAAATCCTTAAATTTTTTGAAGAGATGACAATTTTTTAATGTCACACGCTTTTGCGTAACACAAATCAAGGAGTTTCATGGTTTGCGCGTCGTAAAAGGGTATTTTTCTTGTAGTGTTATTTATATACTATTAAAATTTAGATTTTTAATATGTCTAAATTATGATGCTTTACGTATTATTATTTATTTATAGTCAATTTTACATTCCTTGATTTTCTGCTGAAAATGGGAAAGACTCATTCAAATCCTATGCTTTCTGAAATGTAGTCCATAAAGAGTGGTTTTCAAATTTTGAAATACATAATTGGCGTATATCTCAACTTTTCTATATTTGATTTAGAAAGAGATTGGCATCCTTCTTACATAACCATCCACCACCATGACCAAGATGATATTTTTTAAATCATCGCCATCTTCAATGTAACCTTAATGACCCATCATGGTTCCTTAAATTCCCTCATACTGAAGAGTCCAGTTAATGGTTAGGTCTACGCTTTCAGTGTATATTGTTTTGGCAAGATCCTGTAATACAGTTTATGAGTTGTTTATGTTTTTTTGGTCATTTTGTGGGTTCACGACTGTAAACTGTGTTTACAGTCATTGTGACAACTATCAATTCAGGTCATTCTCGGACTCATGCATCTTTATAAAAACCATTCATGCACAACATGCCATGACCTAGTAGTATAAATTTGGTCAAAAATCTTGCATAAACTAGGATCCAACTAAGGTCTAGGACTAATATACTTGATACTTACAATCCTAGTAAGTTGGTTAGCTACAATAGGAAATGCCAATACTATAATTAGAATAAAGCTTCAAGCTTTGTTATAATTGAAATAGAGTATAAAACTCTAAAAATAAATTAAAACATTCTAATTATACTTCAACATGTTGTTGAGTATCAAACAATATTCCAAAAACCCTAAAGAGCCAAAAATCCAAATTTATAAATCTTAAAGCTTAAAAACTTTATAAAATTTGGCTATAAACTTCCTAATATCAAATTTTATTAATCAAATTATGAATTATAGTCAATGAAATAGAAAAAATAAATTATCATGCATTAATCATAATTTATTAGTTAAAAACAAGATTTTTAAATAAATCAAAAATTGCTTAAAGAATCACTTTTATAAAAATTAGATTTTTATAAAAATAATGGAGGGAATTTTATGAAATTTGAAATTAGGAGAGAGGAGGCCTAACCCACTCAAAAATCTAGCCATCTCCCCTCTCCCCATGCACTCTCTTCCCAAAACTCATGATTAAACTCAAACCCACACTCCACCTCTTCTCTCTTCACTCTTCTCACTTCACTCTCTTCACACACTTCACTCTCTTCCTCTCTCTCTCTAAACTCACGAAATTTCTCTCATTTCTCTGCCAAATTTCAAGACTTTGAAGACCTTGAAGTGTTCTTACTTTTCTCAAGATCATAACCAAGGTAAACAACATCATCTTCTTCCATAGTTTCATGATTCTACTTCTTTTCTTCTTAGTCTTCTCTACTTTTCGGATTCTATGCCTTTCCATGGCTAGAAATCTTTATTCTTCCCTTGTGGTTTGTAGATTCTCACCATAACACAATGCATGTGTTTGAAATGGTGAAAATTCGGGATCAAACCCATGCACACTACTAGAAAAACAGCCTTTTACGACGCTCATTGCGCGTCGTAAAACGCTCAGACGACGCGCAAATGCGCGTCAAGGAAGGCCCTGTCATAAAGAGAGACGACGCGCTTTTACGCGTCGTCTATAGACGACACGCATTTACGACGCGCGGTTATGACACGCAATGCGTATCAAGGAAGGCCCTGTCATAAAGGAAGACGACACGTATTTATGTGTCGTAATCTTACGACGCGCGTATTTATGACACGCAATGCGTATCAAGGAAGTCCCTGTCAAGAAAGGCCATGTCATAAATAAAGACGACACACATTTTTGTGTATCGTTATGTTAAATTTTTTTAAATTATTTATAGATATACTAGTTTTCAAATTAAATTTGCATTTTCATAATAAAAAATAAAATACCATATACAAAAAATACAATACATTGCACAAAATTTAATGTCATACAAATAATCCTTCCAATAGTAGACAAATGTAACATTTCATGGAAAGATAAAAACAAATCAATAGTTGTAACAAAAATTTACAAACTAATTAGATACAAGAAATATCAAAAAAATACCCTCAAATGTTTTTCAAAGTCCAATCTCCATGTCAGCTCTTCAACTCATTTCTCCATCTTCAACTCACTTCTCCATTTTGTTCTTAGGTTCATGTAAGGGCTAGCTCCAGCATCTCTTGCAGTTTCAAAGGTAGAAAGAAGAACATAACGTGATATTATTTTGCCATTGGAAAGCTATGTTAACTCTTTTTTTTAAAAAAAATTTAGAAAACGAATCTGCTTCTCTAAGATATTATCCAACAACAATGCTAAAACGTGTTTAAAAGTTAAATGCAAAAAAGAGAACCTGTTCTATGACAATTCCATTAACAGGCCTAGAAAGAATTGCACGTGACTTTATACCCCTTTCAGATTGTGGAGCTTTTTCAGACTCAACTCCATCCTACAAAATACAACATCAATCAAGAAAAATATATAAGTAAACATGCAAAACCACAAAACTTACAATAACACATAATATTATAGCTATTAACGATATATTAACCACACCTTTTGCCTCGACACTGTTGTTGCAAGCTTAGAAGATTTCACTTGCTGCAAGGTAACCTCCACAACTTTACTCCCACACACAAAATTCGGGTGTGATGTGTTTATGTAATCCATCTACCCAAAAAAGCAATATTTTCAGCCATGTCACGATAAAAATAAAAAATAGAGATAATGATACGTACCTCCATTTCAACTATGTGCCCAATCATGGTTTCAGAAGGCTGAAGACCATCACTTAAAAAATTCCCTATGACATCATCCATTCTCTTTCTGAGAACAGGAAATCTCTGTAACTCATTCACCATACATCGATGGCCCATCTAAAACATGAACAAATCAGTCAGCTTAGTGTCCAATTATATGAATCTTGAACATTGAAGGCTTGGATCTAGTAAACAAGCAATCTGTCGTCTAATTAGAACTTCAAATGGAAACTGCTCGTGCAAGAGACTCTGCTCTCTCTGTTTTAGGAATTTTATAAATTCAACAGAAGAGATTCACAACTTTACATTAAAAAAACACATCTTTAAAGATATAGTTAATTTTGCATTCAATGCAAAATATCTGAAAATAAAAATTCATGTAAGACATTATATTCTTTTAGAAAGTGTCAAAATTTGAATAAAAATATAAAACATGAATTTTTAGAAAGATTAAAAAGAAGTACCTACAGAGCCATCTTTGAATGTGTTGTGTGGACACTCAAATTGTAGTAGATTTCCAAAAAGAAAATAGAAAAAGAAGAACGGGGTATACCCTTTTCTTACCTGGCCTGTGTCAATAAGTTGCACAATCCGGACAAAAACTTGTGTATCATGGTAAGGTAGAGCACATAAATTCAATTCATCAATGTTGTATACATGAATCCTGTTGAATAAAATGCAGAATAGCATAATAACTGATATGTTGACATACGAAAATGTGAAATGACATGAAAAAGTGAAGCTTGAATGGTAATACATACTTGTATCTGCGAATTAGATATTTAAGTGTCCTTAGTGCTGAAGGTAACTTAAAATGTCCGGACAGCAGCCTCAAATAAGTTCTCGATCCAGTTCTCTACTCTTATGAAATCAATACCACCTCAACTTAAAGGTACCTGTTGCAAGTGAAATGTGTGCCACCACGACACTCCCCTTTCCACTTTTCAGGAATTGGTCAGAGGCCTTCATCACTGAAGCTCTCCGAATCTGGCCATATTCCACTGTCTATGACACCAATAATCGAGTTGCTCTCACCAACGGGACTTTGTTCAATTGTTATTGGAAATCCAATGAAGTCCCACGACCTCGTTGTCTAGAGGTGCAACTTTTGACATGGGAATACGGAGACGATCCCTTCATAACCTGCATTTAATTAGGGTTTTAGCCAATCTTAGCAAAGCATATACTACACACACACACACACACATATATATATATATATATATATATATATGTGTGTGTGTGTGTGTGTGTGTGTGTGTATCTACATCCACAATTAGTCAATTATATATAAAAGTTCATGTGGATCGTATCGAGTTCTTGTTTTCACAATTTATGATGTCATTTTTGATCCATCTCAAATTCTGTGTGGTTAAGAAATTTTGATTGATGGAAAAAAGTAGTCGTACAAACGCACTCTCACTGAATTAATTAAGAGGCTGTGTACGATCAATACTAACATTGAACCATTGTAACTGTTTTGGAAAATGTTTCTCATTTGTTTTGTTGCTTTCTTGTTTCTTAATTTCGTATAATTATTTTGTCAATTTTATGTGATTATTTTTTCTGTTACTTGTATTTTTGTTTCATGATAAATTCTAAAAACTTGAAGGAAATCTAAATGAAGCAAAATCTAGTCATTGATACTTACCAGCCAACTTTCGTTTTTCTTCTTGGGAGAGATAGGCAGCAAATCCATTAAAGCTTCTTTGGTAACCCCTTATCAGGGATTTTCTTAAGAACCTGGTCCCATTTAAAAATATAAACAAAACATATTTGTGGTTTCAAAAATGAAAATGCAATTCAAAGAAATACCTAAGGCTGGAAATATTTTTCAAGATTTCAAAGTGATGCAAAGAAGGTGAATATTCTCCTTCTGGAAGAAATCATGTAGGCAATAAAAACCTGCAGAAAAGATTAATTTGCATTAGAATCACGAGTTAAATCCAAGATTAATTTACATTAAGTGTTGTCTATAAACGATATCTAAAAAAGGACGGTAAAATTGGGGAAAATTCAAGTAAAAACCAAACGAGGGAAATTTGTAAAATTGATACAACTTAATAAGAAAGAATTTTCTATTTAGTCATTGTATCTGCATTAAGTCAAAAGAAACACTCATATATAGCATTCATGTCCCTATTAAGTAAAAAAAAAGAGACATAACCTTAGCTAGGTCAAAGGGGCCGAGTTTTACTTCAATAAACGTACGATGAAAGGGGCAAAAGATGTGGGTCCTACACAAAAAAGTATAAATCTATCAACAACCAACATGACAAAAACAAAAAAATTAAACATGAGACGCTACAATACTGATGTCTTTCCACCTAAGAGAGTTCCTAATTTTTTTTTGTCTGTATAGGAAAGTTAAATTCCAAGTCAAAGCAACAAACAATTCAAATTCGAGAAAAGTTAAAATGTGCTAAAGACATAACCCTTTCTCCCAAATTATCCCGCTTCTGTATAAAACACATATTAAATCAACCCACTACTATATTAAAGGCTAAAGATAAAGTTAGAAGTAAAGATAGCAATAAAAAGTCAACCAACACTTTAATAATGGCTATGATTTAAAATAACATTTTGATAAAGTTAGAAGTAAAAAATGTTGCTTGGTTGATAAACTGGAAAGGAAAAAAAGCATTAACGAAGGAATGTCATTCCATACCATATGAGACCCTTATTTTCTTCATTCCATCTCTTCAAGGAATGACAGTTACCATTTTACCCTTTATAAAATATACAGGCTCGTTTTCAATCTACCAAAATAACCCTTCCAAATCATTTTAATCCACTTGGAAGCCAAACACGCGAGGGCTGGTTCGGATTCGGCGTCACGGCGTTGCGATTTCGTTCCAGACCCGGTCAACAGTATCTCTAGCAAGATCTTGAGTCATACCCTGAACTTGACTAGTAAGTTTTTGGCGAGTAGAAGTCAACTCCTTAATACGAACATGTAATTGCATAAGCTCAGCACAAATAGCTTCTACTCCATGAAGCTGAAGGAAAAATCATATGAATTTTTTTATAATCATATATGTAAATGAATTTGATAATCAGGTTTGCGTAGCAATAAACAAATAGTCAATCGGATGAAATAGATCTATGTTAATGAACATATTTGAAGTCTATGTGACATTTATCGAACATAAATCCACTTTTTCTCAAATTTATTTAAGCCTTAAATTAATGATTTAAGGCTTTGTTTTGATTTTTTTTTTCTTAAAAATTCTCATCTCAATCTACAACTGTGAGACCTAATCCTTCCATTGCGATTTAACTAACATTCAATTAACTAAGTAAACCACATCCATTAATTAAACACAAAACAAATAGATCATACCAACTGAAGCTGAAATTGGATAAGACTAACGATATTAAATAGGGCTAGAATGTGAGAAATTAGAAGATCTGAACAACACAAAAAGAAAGAAGGGATAAGAGATTACTAGTAGAAATGAGAAATTAGAAGATCCGAACAGAGAAATCTTTAAATTTGATCATTTATAACTAAAAAAAATTGAAATATCACAGGTGAAATTAGATGTAAAACACATACCTCGATGATGTGGTTTTACCCAAGAATTCAGTGGTTCTAAGCATGGTGATGTACATTGAGTCGATTTCATGAGGGCTTTGGGATAGGATTAGGGTTTTTGGTGCTGGTAACCCTCCCTATCCTACACCTACACCTAAATGTGGTGGTTTACCACTACCATTTGACGCTCCTCTATTGTTCCCCTGGATTCTAACTACCAACAACATTCAACATAAAAGGGAGAACAGAGAAAGGAGAAGAAAAATCAAGAAAAAAGAGAGCGAGAATAAAGATAGTAAAAAATGAGTAGATGAGATGGTCCAACAACCTACCTGATGGAAGAGACCGAGAGAGGAACAATGAAGACATGTTGGGATAGTGATGGAAGCGAGGAGCATGGTCGTCCAGGTTTTAGGGGAGAAATCAAACTAGTTTCTTCCTTATTTTTGGAGGACGGACCTGAAGAGATCGAGAAGAAAAATCCCTAGCTGGATGATTTTATGACGAGGAGGATGGTCGTGGGGAGGTGATCCTATACTCACCGGAGAAGAAGTAAGCCTGAAGTGAGATCGTCGATTGTTGCAGAGGCCTGGGAGAACCGATCGAGAATCAGAGAGCATTTTGAATTTTCTTGAAAAAGCCCTAGGTAGAATGATTCTTGAAAAAGCCCTACGAATTCAGATGAGAAATTAGGGCTCGTATGAAGCTGTATCTCTTCCATCGAGAACCCTATGGGTTTGATCTGTTCAAAAGACGGGATTATATTGCGATTTTGTTGTGGAAAAAAAGAGGATTGGTGATGTTATTAGGGTTTTTTGGGTATTAGAGTGAGAGAGATAGAGAGAGAAAAAGAGAAAGATAGATAGAGAGAGAGAGAGAGAAGAACGATGGAAATAAAGGAGAGGGTAACAAGAGTGAGAGAGATAGAGAAAGAGAGAGAGAGAGAGAGAGAGAGAGAGAGAAGAAAAAGAAGAAGAAGAAGAACGATGGAAATAAGGCAGAGGGTAACAATGGCGGCCTTTCAAACGTTTGGGATTTTCGTTTCCCCCCAGCCGCAAAAGAAAAGAACGCGCCTTTCATTAAAAAAATATAAAGCGAAATTTCTAGACGTCACCCATTTTTAAATAAGTGCCCTCCGTGTTTTTTTTTTTGTTCGACATTAATTTTAGGGCACGCATAAAAGCATGTCCACTATCCTTCAAAATTTAGAAGAGATAACATTATTTTTAGGGCACACACTTTTGCGTATCGTATATCACCCGCGTGTCATTGTTTGCGCGTCATTAAAGGGCTGATTTCTAGTAGTGGCAAGGAGTGAAAAAGATGGACATATGATCATGTGACATCAAAATCTAATATTTCATGTTCTTCTCCATTTCTTTTGTGTTCATGCATGACCAAAAGCATTTAAACCATTTCTAGTACATCTTGGATGCTCATTCATTCCATGCATGTGTTAGAAATAGGACCTTACCAAAGGCATGCATGATGTTCTTGTTGAAATACCCTAATAATGCACATAAACAAACATGCAATCTGCCAGATTACTTTGTTCGACTTTGAACGGCCATAACTCAGTCATTTCTTAACTAAATCATGATATTCTTTTTGTATTGGTTAGTTCCACGAGTTAACCACATTTACACTTCATGCATTATTGCATGCAACTTTTCTTAAATTGTTTGGAATCATTACCCTCATTTCTCTTCTGAATACATTCTTAACATTTTTTCCTTTTGAAGCCATTGCATGCATGAGATAATCTCGAAAATTTCAAGAGCTTTTGTTATTTCTTTGATTTATTAGAATTATTGCTAAAACCAAGGGCATAAATCATATAAAATACTTCTAGAGGTCAATAAATCCTAAATAAATTCATGGATGATCCTTATGGGGAATAATGACCCCTCACCAAATTTCAGCAATTTTTGTTACTGTTTCTTATGATTTCTAATTTTATTTTGTTTAGGGCATGATAAATTACAAAACCACTTTAGAAGATGTGAAAGTTGTATTTTGCATACCTTACCTGTGATGGGTGACTCCAGAAAATAATTTCAAGATTTTTCATCATGTCTAGCTATTTTTCCCAATTTTTGGTAATTATAATGGTCTAAAAATGGGAAAACTAGTTCTGATTATCCAAAATTCATGAAAATTTACCAGGATATCATATTGTACAGTAGGAGGTTACATAAAATTTTTGAGGCTTTTTCTCTACTGTAAACTATTTTTCTCATATTTTCTAAAGTTAATTGCACTAAAATACACTTAAATACACATAAATACCCAAAACCAGTTTGTAAATTATGAAAACCACTTTTGATATTTTTCCCAGGTTATTTATACTGTAAATGATGTTACGAAAATTTATGGTGATTTATTTTAACTGTTTAGTATTATTTCTTTAATTAATGACTATTTAAAGGAA